CCCGGGCCCTTTAAATTGCTGCCCCAGCCCCTCTGCCGCTACCCCAGGGCTCTGGCAGCAATTTAAAGGGCCGGGGGCTCCAGCCACTGCTGGGAGCCGAAGGCCATTTAAATTGCGCCTGTGGAAGCCGATCCACCCCGGTACGGCACACCGGCTCTTGCAGGTATGCCATACCGGGGTGTACTGGCTTACTTACACCTCTGGTCAACAATGTGGTGCAGTTATGAAAAAGGCTAATTTAATTTTGGGGTGTATTACCAGGAGTGTGATATGCAAGACATGGAATGTAACTGTTCCAGTCTGTTTGACACTAGTGAGGCCAAAGCTGGAGTACGGTGTCCAAGTTAGGTGCCACAGTTTAAGAAAAATGTGAGCAAATTGGAGAGAATCCGGAGGAGAGCAACAAAAGTGATAAAAGGTTTAGAAAACCTGGCCTATGAGGTAAGGTTAAAAAACTGGGAATATTTAGTCTTGAGAAAAGAAGTCAGACCAGATATCAGTCTTCAAATATGTTAAGGTCTGTCATAAAGAGTGTGATGGGTTGGACTTGCGGTCTGGGATGCCACCTGATATACTGGAGTCCCACTGAGCCCGCCCATTCCACCAGCCTGGGCTTCCTCACCCTGTCCTTGCTGTGCCAGGCCCTCAAGACTTCTCTAGCAAACACACAGGTAAGGCCACACCCACCTGCAGACACAAACTGAAATCAGTCTGCGTGGGAGGACTCAGCTCGGGAATGTACCCAGCATTCATGTGCACACCTCCTTTCAGGTGTAAACCCCAAATTATATTGACTTGCACTGTACAGTAATTCCTCACTTAATGTTGTAGTTATGTTCTTGAAAAATGCTACTTTAAGTTAAATGATGTTAAGTGAATCCAATTTCTCCATAAGAATTAATGTAAATAGTGGGGGGGTTAGGTTCCAGGGATTTTTTTTTGCCAGACAGAAGACAGACTCTCTCTCTCTCTCTCATATACACAGTATAAGTTTTAAACAAACAATTTAATACTGTATACAGCAATTATGATTGTGAAGCTTGGTTGAGGTGGTGGAGTCAGAGGGTGGGATATTTTCCAGGGAATGCCTTACTGCTAAATGATGAACTAGCACTGGGCTGAGCCCTCAAGGGTTAACTCATTGTTGTTAATGTAGCCTCACACTCTACAAGGCAACAGGAATGGAGGGAGGAGACACAGCATGGCAGAGAGAGACAGACACACATCGTGTGTGTGTGTGGCGGGGGGGAGGGAGAGACAGATACACACTGTGTGTGTGAGAGAGAGAGAGATGCGCATTGCCTCTTTAAATACGCTGACCCCACTCTAAGTACACTGCCTTTTAAAGTAGATCAGCAAGTTGAGACAGCAGCTGCTGCGAGCAAGCTCCTTTGGTTCTGAGTTCCCCTCCCCACACGGCTCTGTGGAGAAGGGGTAAAGGAGTGGGGCACCCTGGCATTAGCACTCCCCTTCCCCTGCACAGCAAGCAGGAGTCTCCCGGGAGCAGCTCCAAGGAAGAGGGCAGGAACAGCACACGGCAGTGGGGAGAGGCTGCCCACAAGGAACTAAGGGGAGCTGATGGGGGGGGCTGCTGGTCCACCCTGGTTCCAAGCCCCCACCAGCTAGCTCCAACAGGCTACTCTTTCTGCAAGCAGTGGACAAAGCAGGTGGCTGCCAAACAACGTTATAAGGGAGCATTGTGCAACTTTAAACGAGCATGTTCTGTAATTGATCAGCAATGTAGCAATGTTAACCAGGGCGACCTTAAGTGAGGAGTTACTGTATAGTCTTTATTTACTTGATCATGTACTATTTGTTTCCCTTGCAGGACTCCTGCCTCATTCAGTGAATGGGTAGATATTCAATATTTTTGTCCTCCTCATTCAGTTTGTGGCCCTAGGTGTTACTTTTGATTGGGTGTTTTTATGGTGCTCTCACCCTCGTGTCTGAGTGGTTTAGAAAACACTAATGAATTTATCTTAACACCTCTGTAAGATTAAACAATAGTATTATCCCCATTTTACAGCTGGTGAACTGAGCCACAGAGATAGTAGGGGCAATATTGACCCATGTCCACTAAATTTGGGTGTCCAACTGAAATACTTATAGCCTTTTTTTTCTTCAGAATACTTACCCCCCCCCACCGCCCATTTTTGTATAGAACTTTACATATTCAAAGCACAGCTCCAGTTGACTTCAGTTGTAGTGATTGGCATTTCTGCAAATCTGGCCCTAGATGTCTCATGTTGGGCACCCACAAAATGGGGAACACACAATTAGTAGACAGCTGTGAACACTTTAGTTTAAGAGAATTATTCAGCATCACATAGGGACTGTGTGGCAGAGGCAGGGGTAGAATCTAATTATCCAGGGTGGCATTCAACTTCCTTAACCATAAGATCATCCTTTCTCTTCCTGCAGTCTCTACCTCAGTCTACCTCTAGCCTCAGTCACTACCTACCTTCCAACTTCTGCAACAAATGAGTCAGCAGTCCGATAGATAACAGCCTCCTACATTACACCACCATGATTCATTCCCAGAGTACTATCCATTCGGGAGGGGGGAGAGAGCGGCAAAGTATGTGACATGAGTCTGTATCATAATGCACATGCATAGAATGAATGGGGACCAAATTAAGACTGCACAGGCAACCTGAATTCTGGCATTTTCTAGCTTGAGTTTGTAATGTGATGTTCTTTTAACATAGATTTTTGGCTGTCATCTCCTAAGGTGTGTGTTTTTGTTTTGTTTTTAAATGAAGCAGAAAAACAGAAATTCTGTCATACGGAACCACACTGATTCCCCACTTGAGTCGTTAGCACGTTTTGGACCTTCAGATTCATAGTGCAGAGAGACCTTTACCACTTGAGCTAACAGAGTGGTCGAAGTAGTTGGCTGTTGTCCTCTATGTGGATCAGCCACTAGAGGGGATTGAGACACATGCTTTGGCAGTAGATTTCACTTTTGTTTGCTGACAGCAGAGGGGTGTAGAGACTTAGGACTCCTGGGTTCAATTCCAGGTTCTGTCAGGAAGGGTTTTCTAATGGTTCTAGTTCCTTCTGCCCTTGCTTTCCCTCTCCCCCTCCTCAGCCTGTCTCTGCTCCAATGTGCCCCATCCCAACACTCCTATCCCCGTTCCCATTGTATCCTGCCCCTCCTCCCTCTGCTCCTATCCACACTCCCACACTTTGACTTCTGCCCTCCTCCATCTCTGCTCCTCTCTATCCCCTGCACAGGTCCCAGTTCTTGTCCTTCTCTGCTCCAGTGTATCCCAGCTTCTGCTTCCCTTTCCACACTGCCTGCTCCTATTCCCCCCGCCATCACTTCTGTCCAACCTTATGCTTCATCTCCTCCCCCTCTTCTGTTGCATGCGGCTCCTGACCCTCTCAGTTCTTCTCTGCCTTCTGGTTTTTGCACCTCCCTCCCCTTTGCAGCTCACCCCTTTGCATTTGAATCAAGTTGCTTCCTCCTACTTCCTGCCTGGAAACATCAGGGGCACATGCAAGTACATCTCATTTCTTATCCCTGCTAATGGCCCCTAATGGCTGGGAGAGGCAATAGCAGGGAAAATCATGCTCAGACCCTGAATCCCCACGATGGAGTATGCTCAGTGCAGACAGGGTATTTTGGAAAATTTAGCTACCAAATTCTAATAATCCTCTACTGAGCATGTGGGAACTGAGACTTTTTGGGGTCTTATAACTTAGCCAAATTTGTGCAGTTTGGGGAAAGCAAAAGACGCACCCCAGGCAGCAAGGTGACCCCCACCCTACTGCTTGCTAAATTTCAAGCCCTTGTTCCAAAGCATGGTAATGCTAGCTTCTTAATGAAATGGTTGTAAGATTTTATTTTAACATGGGAAAAACATGCTTTTTCTTAATCTCCTGCTCAGAAATGGCTGAACTTTTTTTCACCTGAAACATAAATGCAGTATCCTGAGGCAGATCCATGACATGGAAACGGTCAGCCTGAATAATTAAAGTTTCAAAAAGTTATAAGCAATTGAAAACAGGATCTTAAATTATAATCAGTCAACTTTATTTTATGATAGTACCCTTTGGTTTTCATCTGAAACATTTAAATAACAGACCTTCTGGCTACGTGATGATCTTAATTTATTTTTAAAACCATCCATGTGTATTCGGTTTTGAGATCTCATGAAATAGAAATCACAGATGGTATGGGGATATTTCTTTCTTCTGCCCCCCACCCCCCTCCCAACAGTAGTTTGTTAGTAAAATTGATCTGGCTCTCAATATTTCTGTTCTAAATGACATTGTCAGGCCATTTCTTTTAGGACAAGTGTTATGTATCAGCCCCACTCTGCCAATGGGTGTTGCTGTTCATTGGTTGTGAGCATTAGGAGGGGCAATTAAAGTATTAGGAATAAAAAATTGAAGGTACATCTAAATTTGGCCTTCAAAGTGTATTCGAAAGAGCACCCTGTAATCTTAATTTAAGAAACTCAGATATTAGTATATGCTGTTTATGATTTCTGATCCATATATTAAAGTAGTTATTAAATACTTCATTCTTTGTGACAAAAATAATTCAAAGAGCCATATTTTTCAGGCCTTTTGAAATGAATTTTCCTAAGGGTAGTAAATATGTTCAGGTAGCAAAGCTGCAGAATAATTTACTCCCCAGATGATTTGTTTGATTTTTCGTGGACACTGGAATTTGTGCAGCGGTTTGTAATTTGTTATGATAAGAATCATCTAGTAAATATGTTAGCTCAACCTCAAAAGACTAACCACCCCTCTGCTTAAAAGAAATGGTACTTCCTGCTTTCATAAACAGTCATGTGCATAGTTTAGCAAGGCCTGATGCCTCTGGAGCTTTTTCCTTTCGAGCACCATTGAATCAGTCCTTACAGAAGTACTGTGAATCTCGTGATCTCATTCTGAACAAAAGGGATTAAGAAAAAATCATTTGATAATAAGACTTTGGAAAGCCAGGGCAGGCAATCTTGGTTGTGAATATTTTCTGATTTTTCCAGAAATCAAGCAGAAGATTGAGCTGCTGATGTCAGTTAACTCTGAGAAGTCGTCCTCTTCAGAAAGGTACAGCTACATCTCTTGCATGAACAATTAATGGTGTAGCATTGCAAAGAAGCAGCATAGGGCATTTTTTTCTTGTCAGTTTGCTAATTTTGTTGATGTATTGCATGCTGGTTATTGTAATGTATTGATTGAATCTGTGTTTTTGGTTAAGCTTTGTGTCTTTTTGCAAAGGGTTATTGATTTTTGTTTTTAATGAAGTCTAATCAGCAGCAGCATGCAAATCATAATACAGCAGACTACTGGTTTATATATACTGTTGTTCAGTCTGTGTTCTGTTTTTTGTTTTCACCCAAAAAGCATCTTGATTTCTAAATTCAGTTTCAAAAATTAGATTTTCTTTTTTTTTTGCTTTGTATTAGAGGAAATCATTTTACAGTTACCAAGGTTGCTGTTCAATTTGGGTTAGTAGAAAATATAATTTGGTGAACCATTAAATATCCTGTTATGTTGAAAGGGAGTGTCCTTTGCAAATAGCTTAGGAATTGCAAACACACAAATTAGTCACATTCTGTAAGATAGATGTGATGCTGCTTCAAGTCTGTGCTAGGAAATGGAACAGTCACTGCATGCAGTAATAATGGTTCATGCCTGCAGGTAAGGGCAAAATGACTCAAGTGTTTTTAAAGCAATTATTTTATCTGTCAGTCAGATTATTATAATCGTAAGTAGCTGTTTCATTTTACATAAATATTTTTAAATATATATATATATATATATTTGACATTCAGATTTTTGACATGCAGTGTCCTCTTAGTGACTATTTTGGTGCTTTTAATAACCAAACCTGTTCACTCCTGTTTTGCTTGAGATTTAATTTTAACAGAAACCTGTGTTAATAAAATTATTTCAACTGAGGACAACATAAGATCAATTCAAATCAAAATATTATTTGAATTAAATCATTTCATCTGTGTGCAGCTGAGTATTATATATTTCGGAAATGAGTTGCCAGAATTGTAATTAGTAATTTAGTACACCTAAGCAGGCTTCTTTAGCTGAAATTATGTTATCTAAAATGTATTTGAATGAATGGTTAAACATAATAAAACATAATGGCAGTGCACTGGAAATCTAAGTTAAGGGAACATAGATAGGATAAAAGACAAATAATTAAAAATGAGAGAGTGCTGTGGGGCAACCATGGCTTTAAAACCATATGAGCAGTTTAATTGGATTTATGACACGAGCGAGGGTAGATGTGAACTAAACCATGATATTGCTTTTCACTAGCTCTAGCATGACAAAATATCAGAGCAATGAGAGATACAGAAAATGGTGGGGGGAGTGGGTTGTTAAGTCACCTTTCCAAAATGGAGAAATGTAAGAAAAGCTTTGGGTTATTTTTGCGAGTATAAATTGAAAGTCATTAAGAAAAAGCCTAAGATGTTTTGTTTATCCATCCCCCTGCACCTTGATATCATATAAACTGTAAAATGTTAGGCCAAATAAATGGTGATGGTGATAGGAGAGAGGATGACAGGGTGAAAGTAGTACAAGAAACAGGTGTTAACTGTGATTTTTAGGGCTTCTGTGAGGGATACGGTGATGAAGTGGTGAATCCAATTAGAATATATTTTTAGCAGCTCGAATGCTATGACAAACTGGTGGCTGATCAAAATATATTGTTGCTCAAAATGTGTGTCAAAATACAGTATGAACTCTGGGAAGAAACTGATGGCTGACCAACATGAACCTATGTTTCTAAATTATTGTTATACATAATTAGAAAAGGAGGAAAGGATTTTAAAGATGCATTTTATGCTCATGATCCATTAAAAATGCCCTTAATTTAAAAATTAAATTTGGCAAGTGCATAGTTCATAAGTTGCCTTATGGTTTTAAGTATTTTGAAGGAAAAAGGTAAATCTGAAAAGGTCAAGATAACTATTAAAAATTGGATATTGTGCACGCACAGTAAACTTTCTACAATATTCAGAGATTTTTGAGCATTGTGAGATACTACTATTTTAGTGATTTGAGTTGACGTTCATTAGTTACGCAGTTTATAGGGTCAGAAATCAGCAAATAAAGACTTTCACACAGTCTGTCAGATACAGTTTTTCATTATTACTGTAAAATATCCACCTTCTTTTCCCTGAACCGAAAATATACTGAATTTATTTGCTGCACAGTAGGAAACAATATTATCTACCCTATTAACTTTCAGATCCTTCTATGACCTTTAAAAATTACAATATAAAAAAGCTGTTTTGTAAAAGAAATCTATACTATCAAATAGGTAACATTAAACAATGAAAGTTAGCGCATTTAAAGTGTTTGCAAAACTCTATCCTTAACCTGTTGTGCACAGGTATTGAGTCTGTATATGGTATATACATAATGTTTATATGTAAACTTACTGTTTGGGCACACATGCAGTCTTACGTTGTATTTGTTTCCATTTTAATTTATGAACATGGGACTCTTCTGGTACTTTGAGCTGCCCGGTGGAAGATCTAAAGTAGAGTCTCCGGTTTGGTCCCATGTTTTCCAGGCCAGGAGGGGTTAATAGAGGATGCTTGCACCTTCACGAGGTGGGAGGGGAGAGGTTAGGATTTGTGCATTGACACAAACTGTACCCAGTGTGAGTGGAAGGGATGAGGGAGAGTTTGACCCTCTGCCTGTCTTTTCTTAGAAAAGGGTGCTTTGATGATTGCAGATTCTACCTGAGGAAAAGGCATGTTCTTTTTTTTAAGATCAATATACTGTCTTGTCAGACAGGAGTAATCCTTAGTAGGAAGAAGGTGGGAATAAAAATGAAAAAAAAATGGCCGCGTTTTAAGAAGGCTCAAATTCTTAAAGTCCTGCTTTATGATCCTGGGTTAGTTGCTATCTCTCAGGTTTCCCTCTTTTTAAGAGGCCCTGATATGAAGTGAAACTAACAAGGAAGTGTGATGATGGAGGCTTTCGGACAGGGGTGGGCAAACAGCCTGCCCCCCCCATCTGTCCCCTCCCACTTCCGCCCCCTGACTGCCCCCACACATCCAACCCCCCCTGCTACTCGGACCCCCACCAGCCACCCCCTGGGACTCCACCCCCTATCTAACCTTCCCCTGCTCCCCGTCCCTTGACTGCCCCCCCAGAACCTCTGCCCTATGCAACCGCCCCCTCCTCCCTGTCCCCTGACTGCCCCCTGGTACACCCTGCCCCTTATCCAACCCCCCCGGCCCCCTTATCATGCCACTCAGAGCAGTATGTCTGTGAGTCGCACCGCCCGGCCAGAGCCAGACACTCTGCTGCGCTGCCCTGCACAAGCGCGCAGCCCCACCGCCCAGAGCGCTGGCGGCGCGCTGAGGCTGCAGGGGAGGGGGAACAGCAGGGGAGGGGCCAGGGGCTAGCCTCCTGGGTCTGGAGCTCGGGGTTGGGCAGGACGGTCCCGCGGGCTGTAGTTTGCCCACCTCTGCTTAAGGACAAGGAGGCCTCAAGTTGATGAGAAGGGCAACAACCTCAAAAAGGAAAGTAATGCAAATATATGACTCTTTTTCCCTATGAAATTCACTCAAAAATAATTGGAATTACTTAGTTGGGATTGGGGGGCTACTACATCAGCATTAAAATATTTTTTTCCTGTATGATCTTATTAAACATTTCATTTAGTAGACTCAATTAGATATAAATTTAGAAATGTAGGGTAGGGTGATAACTGCCCCAAATAAAGGGAAGTTTCAGCATATCCTCTGTGTATGTTTTTTATTTTGCATGATTTTGAAGGACAGTCCTCCTTTAAGAGAAGATAACATTAATGAGAAAACATATTACAAAATCATGTAATATTGGGAATAAGCTCACTTACTGTACCTCTTGCTCTATCCCTCTCTGCAGGTAGCCTAAGCCTGCATGTTCTTTGGCTATTCAGTAGTGGATACGTGAAGTTGCCAGCAGAGTTCTTGCTGCAGCCATTAGAGAGCTGGGACCAGCAGTCATGGGGAGGGAGTCTGCTTTTCAAGAACCTGTAAAAGAAGGAAAAACATCATATTTACATTGCAAATGTCCTGTCCCCCTTTTGTATTTATTTGGTGCATTCGGCACTTTAAGCTACAGCTGCACTTTTAAAAGTGTGGACGTGCACATGCTTATGTGTGTGCCTTTATGTGAACCTATTTTGCAGAACTCCGTTCAGAGGATGTCTGTGGACTTTGCATTTTAAAGATAGAAAAGTCACTTCATCTGTCTGTGTCACTTTACAATCACTGAACATTCCCTAATAAATTTAACACACAGTATATTAATCTTTCTCATAGATTAGAACAAAGTGCTCAGTAAACTATATTTACCGCTGTGATTTCTGGATCCGGAATTTGTGATTTGTCTTCTCATTGATGTAGTTTGATAAAAGGTATTATTGTGTAGCTAAAGGTCACTGACAAGGTTAATAATTCTAAAATATTTAACCTACTTTTTTCGTTATATCTTTTTGCAGACCCTATATGTATATTTTACTTTAAAATGAACTCACACTTCAATGCTCTATTTTTTATTTATTTATTTTTTAAATCAATATTAGGCCTGCACTCATGAGCAGTCTTACAATAGCAAACCAGTAAGTATATGTATGATGGAAAAAACAGTGTTCAGGTTCTAAGGTGTTTTATAAATAGCAGCAAGAGGAGAATGTTTTCAGATCATAAAATATCTTGACAATGTCTTTTTTAAAAAAAATCCAAATGTGCAGTATTATTGATGGGGATTGTGTAGGGACAGCAACTGGTTCTTTCTTGTATTTTATTTCCATTCATTTTGTAGCCTTGAGCCTTTTTCACGGCTCTCTCTTTTTGTAATTGATCTATTCAGAGCAAATGAAATGTTTGCTCTTGATGCATTTACATTCTCCCTAGATTGGTCCATCTCCAAGAATTCTGTCAGGAAGGAAGAGAATAGAGGAGGAAATCTAAAATAATGAAAGAGAAAGTGCAGGCCTAGTACTGTCTCTATTCTCCTTACTTAAGAAAATAACTTCTACTAGTTGTTGCAAGATTATGTTGTGAAAGGAAGTGAGGATA